CTACTCAAAATTTCTGCTACCAGTTCTCCAGAACCTGTTGGAACTGGCTGAATACCAACTCTGATGGGAAGGTTTCTTTCCTAATCAAATTCTCTCAATGTCAGTTTTCGAAAGGTCAATAATGTTTTCCCTCTTCCTTGTAGAGCATGCAGTTGTTGGGTTGTCGTTCCCTACCCTGAGCAAGATTAAGTTTTGGGAATGGAGAAAATCAATGTTGCCTTGTTCAGTGATTTCTCTTTGTGTGTTTCTTTCTCTGCTTGGGTAGGAACAATGCCCATGCCTTCACTTGCCTGAAAATTGCATTATTTAACAATACATTTCTGGGCCGAAACAAATGTATTGTATTATATTAGTCTTCTGAAGAAGTATTGATCACTGCTATGAAATGAAAATGCATAATTGATGAAAACATCAAGATTCTGCAGGGACAATCAGGGAAAAAGAAAAAAGAAAGAAAGAAAGAAAATGATCTGCATGCTGTCTAAATTGACTCCGGAAATAGGACTTTTCTACCCAGGTTGCAAGCGTTGTTAGCAAAAAGAAAATGTTCCTTTGAGGGGTGGAGGATGGAAGCTAAGCTTGACTTAATTTCAGCTTTTTCTTCCTCCCATATAAATAAGAGGATCTTATTTGTTCATTCCTCAAATGTCTGTAGCTTACCTTAAAGACCCTCTGGGGTTACTTCAAGTAGATTTGGAGAAAACTACTTTAGTTCTCTCTCCCTCTCCCTCCCCCCTCTCTTTGTGCCATGTGTGTGTCTGTCTGTGTCTGTCTGTAAGTCCATGTGTTTTGCCAGGCTGGGTAGTATATAGGGATATTGTCCAAAAGTTGCTTTTGGACTGTAAAAGCACACACTAATCGCCCAGCAGTGACTCATTGAAGTAGCTGCCACTAGGAAAAACACTTGTACTTTAATGAGACATTGATCACTGTTCTGTTCACATTTGTTTATGCTCTTAAACAACTTCTGCAATCAAATCCAAAGCACTGCACAGCGATAGTATTAAGTGGAGCTGCTTAACAACCCACTTTTGTGATGGTTCCAAACCAAACAGATTTTATGAGATTCATATGTTATTCCCAAGCATGCTTTTTTTAAACAGGCTTCATAGCCTGCGCTAAGGTATAAACAACTATTCCCAGAGCAAAATAACCAGAACTCACATATTACTCCATGGCAAAAACCAAATAAGCCATAGTATAACTCAGTACCATCTATAAACTCTGCCATCAACTCATGACTCACTTTCTCTGACTTGGGGCCTGTATGTTATTTAAGGGATAATAGGCTACATTATCTGAATATGATTCAGTAAAATAAATAAAAGCCAGAAGTCTTTGCATAGTGTGATATTGGAAATAAAATTAATTAATTGTGTCATTTGGAAGGGTCATATGTGAAATTATGGGGCAACCTAATAGAGTCCTTCATGCTGTGATGCAATAATGGAAAAAGATGATGCTTCAGTTAAAGGAACATCTGGTATGCCACTTTGTCATCACTATTCTTCTTAGCAAAAAGTAATTTGCTTTAAGTGTACCTTTTATTTTTCACACATGAAAGATCCAAATTTGTCACACAGCTAATGAAGGATTCATTTTCTAAAACTCCTCAGACAGAAAAATGAACTTTGTATGAGGACCAGCTTTGGGGATTAACATTACCTATCTGAAAGACCTCAATCGTTGTTCTGAATTAAGAGCACTTTAACAATATCCAGATGGCCCAGAATTAACATCTTTGAAGCAATTTAGTTATGAAAAAGTATTCTATTTTTTTTTAAAAAAAAACTAGTCTTATTTAATTTAGCAGCAATTTCTCTAATTTTCTTTTGTAGACTTCCTTCTAAATGATGTATTAGTTTCTTCTTTTGTAAGTTAAGCTAGTATTTTTCTTCTTTATTCCTCTAAAATGGAGATTGAACAATAAAAAAGAAATTAGGGTGGCCTTCGTGGTGTATTTTTCAAAATATTGTTTCATGTCTGGTTACCTATTCTTGTTAAGTACTCCTGAATTATGTGGAAATTAACCAGTAAATTAAACTAGTATTTCAAGTATTAGTATTTCAAGCTTGCTTTTGGCTTGAGACAAAGCCTATACATTTAAAGCATACCCTAATAGGGAAGTAGCTTTGAAGTTTAATAGAGATTATGTGGATTTATTGCTTTAATATTTTAGATTTATTTTCAGTGTTCTTGTTTTTTCACTTTGCTCTAGTCAACTTCTGCTGTGGTTCCTTTTTCAATCTTATTTCTTTATACCTCAGCTTTCTCATGTTTACTTGAAGCAAAGTTCGAAAGGATTGAGCAGATCTATCTACCAATCAATCCATATTGTATCAATACTCTTTCAATATATATATATAAGCTAAGGGCATGCAGAAAATTTAAAAATGATTTGGCACTAATCAAAATATCACTACAGCAATTATAGCCTTTTTTAATGACATTATTCCTAGAAAAATTAAGTTAATGTCATCTGTCATTTGCCTAAATGTATTCTAAAGAGGTCTCAGAGCTCCTACAATATTTTTAGTTATAAGTTGTACTTATGTTTGAGTATGGTCTGGGACAGGGGTGAGTTTCAACTGGTTCGCGGCAGTCCCCGCGAACCGGTTGGTCAGCAAACCCGGGAACGGCGAAGGGCCCACCCGCCCGCTCGCGTTCCTTACCCGGTTTTGATGAGTTCTGCACTTCCACGCATGCGCAGGACGCATACAGTGCCTGCGCGATCCTCCAGGAGCAGCTGGAGCATCGCACAGACGCTAGTACGCATGCATGTGCTGCGCGCGTGTACGAGGACGACGCCGGCCCCGTTCCAACCGAACCAGTTGGAACAGGGCAAGAAACCCACCCCTGGTCTGGGACCTTAATAAAGCAGGCTGAAATGCTCAAGCTCAACAGGGACACGGTGGCTCAGTGGCTAAGATACTGAGTTTGTCAATCAGAAAGGTGGGCAGTTTGGTGGTTTGAATCCCTAGCACCATGTAACAGAGTGAATTCCTGTTACTTGTTCCAGCTTCTACCAACCTGGTAGTTCAAAAGCATGTAAAAATGCAAGTAGAAAAATAGGGACCACTTTGGTGGGAAGGTAACAGCATTCTGTGTGCCTTTGGTGTTTAGTCATGCCGGCCACATGACCACGGAGACGTCTTCAGCCAGTGATGGCTCTTTGGCTTTGAAACGATGAGCACTGCTCCCTAGAGTCGGAAATGACTACCACATATGTGTGAGGGAAACCTTTAGCTTTACCTAGGCTCAAGCTGTGACTGCCTTTAAGCCCTGTATTCATGGATATTGCTTGAGAATTGCTGACTTTTTTTCAATGGGAATGGCCACTGCCACTAGGGGATAAGCACATTTCTTTCTTCCAGTCCCACCTCTTTTTACAAATCTCCCATCATTCTTCTCCAAATTTTATTCATTAGGTTTACAATTTCTTTGGAAAGGACTATAGAAAATATAGAGGAATAGGGGTGTTATGAAATTAATGTCAATCAATTAAACAAATATTACTATATACTATTCATCAGAGCAGTCAAAAATGGCATTTTTATTTTCAAGAGTTGAAGTTTTCTGGCTATTCTCTTATAAAAGATTACCCTTCATTTTATAAAATTCCCAATCTGTTTCTCTGTATCAATATCAGAGAATAGCTATTAATTGTGTTTTCAAGATTCTGGCTCTTTTCCAAAAGGTATAATTATTTTTCTATCACAAAGATCCTACAATAAAGTACATTATCACCAGTATGCACAAGAACGTTTTTCTGCCGAGGTGAGTTCCCTGATCACCTGGAGGATGGAATACAATTCCTATCATGGAAAGTTTCAATTTTAAATGCCTACATATTAAAAGATGGGATGGCAATTTACCATCCACTAATGGAGTACTTCTATAACCCAAAAAAAACCTAAGAAATAAATCCAACACATAAATTTGACTTCTTAATAATGTACATATACAGAAATCAAATTCATTATATTGTTGCTAAAAGGAAGTAGGAAAGCTCAGCTTTAAAAGCAAAGATGTAGCCTGAGCTAATTATGGAATAGATCACAAATTGTTCATGTACCATTCTAAGTGAAGCTAAAATGGGGAAACAAAATTAACCACTTTCACAATATAATCTTGAAGAAATGTCCACCATCAAGAATTCCTTTGAAGCCCTGAACCTTAAGGATAGCAAACCAGATGAAATATGGGATGTCGTTAAAGTTGTTAAACATGAATTTATGGGGGAAACTGGTAAAGATGAAGAAACAGACCAAGTCAAATTGGGTGTCAAAACACAGGGTGGATGTTGCCAAGAAGAGAAGGTAAAAGCTAAGCAAGACAAAGATTCCATGAAGTAACTTTGTTAAGAATTTCAGACACCTATTAAGGAAAGGTAAAGGTTTCCCTCGAACATATGTGCTAGTCATTCTCAAGTCTAGGGGGTGGTGTTCATCTCCGATTCAAAGCCNCATGTGCGCAAAGGCTCAATTGGGCTTATTATCCAGGGAGGTCTTATTTTCAGGGAAACAGGGTAGTACATTCAGTGCAACAAACTTTTCTTTTTCTTTTTAATTTTATTTACAAACAGGTAAAATACACCTGCACAAAATTTAGACGTACACCACATTTACACAATACAATATGAACAGGAGCTTCCTGTTCTTTCTAATAGCAATTGCTAATCGATATCGCTCACCTTATATTGTTTCCCCTTCTATTATATTTCTAACCCTCTTATCTTACTCATCTGTCTGTTATATTGGACTTTTCTTTTTATTTACACCATTCAGAGATTTCTCTGCTCAAGTTTATTCTGTAGACTTTCTTGTAAGAGCATCCAATTGTTAATGTGAATAGGCTTTCCTCTTTAAAGATGAGAACGTTTTTAAGTTCTAGTTAGCAACTTTTGGTTTTCTTGAAAAAAAGAATTACCAGGTAAACAGTATGCTGTTGGTATTCTTATTAGTACACGTCATGGTAAAATATATAAATTGTACTTTCAGGAGGATGAACCTATTTATATAGCTGTGAAAGGTGTGGTGTTTGATGTCACTTCTGCAAAAGGTAAGATCACCTTACAAGCAGTATGTGCCCCCCCTTTCAGTATGGTTCACAATAGGTATATCTCGGTATTGTCACCTCAACCAGATGGCCTTTTTAAAGAGCAAAAAAAAATGTTCCTCTCATTTATAAATGCTGCTAGGTTTTCCCCCAGATGTTTATTATCCTTAATTCCCAGAGGTGGATAACCTTTACCTTTCCAGTTGTTGAATTTCAACTCTTATCAGCTCCAACAAACATGACTGATGGTGAGCAATCCTGGGACTTGTAGTCCAACATCAGCTAAGGTCACAGATTGCTCACATCTGTTTAGAAGGACAGCACTTGTGTATAATGCCAGATTTTATTCATTCAGCAACCCTCTATGCTAATTTCATGTGAAGAGTAACCTAGATCTTCTCCTGTCTTTGCGGCAAGCTTGTAGTAACTATGTAGCAATAATTTCATATATTTGTAAGAGTCTAGTGCTGCTGCCCCAGGGATATTCATTTTGCCACTGTTTAAAACCAAGGGGAGCAAGTTCCTATTTGCTTTCCTCCTGGATTTCAAAACCTCAGCTATTTCTGCCTGGTTTGCCTTTACTAATTGAAGTGTTCAATTTCAAACCAGGGTTCCGAAAGGAATATAAACAGTTTGAAAACTATTGCTGCTTCAAAAGATTCAACAACCAAATCCAAATCTGAATATCTTATCTCAAAATCCCATCGGATAATTTTTAAATAGTTTTAATGTACATGCCTTCACACAATGCAATAAATCCATAAAGCAGTATGGATGAATAATCCCCAACATCAATATAGCTCTGGCCGTACCTTATCAGTACAGTGTTGATGAGAAAAGATGCTTTATTTGCATACTTTAGCATAAGGTTATTAAAAAGGGACGTAAGTAGCATGTATACAAATGTATATGGCAAATAGCTGGGAATGGGCAGTTGTGTAAGGACAGTTTGGTAATCCAGTTATTGGAATCTTACCACATGACATAAATTTTTGAGAATAACTCAAAAATAATATTTTTGAGAAGAACTTCTGGAGGTAGGAGAGGATGCAGTTCCACCTTGGAAGACCACATAATACAGAAATTTGACACAGAGTGAAGGTTCCATCTTTCTTAGTTTAATTGGAAGTAAGTCCTTACATTCTGTGAATGTAGCTTCAAGTGGGCATTTTATATTTTCCAGTTTTGGGATCATCCAAATGTATGGTTGCCCTTTTCAATTTGGAATTTTCTAAGTATTTTGGACAACAGCTCACAGAATACAGTCAAGCATTGATTGCGCCCTGGTTGGAGAGATGGTGTACTTCACTTCCATATTCCTTTATTTCTCTTTCCCTTTCTGATCACCATTTCACTCTAAGCTACCTCTTAGATTATTGACTGTTTGCAATATGCCTGCTCTTTCTGTTGTGTTGTTAAGGCTTCAAAATGTTGGAGGATTTCAGCAGTTTAGGATGTTTATATTGTATTAAAGTTGGTTCAAGACAAGCTGAATCATGGGTGTGCTACTCTTGATATATAATTGAAGATAAGACAACATTTCATGTTTACTAGTTTTAGAACTTTTTAGGGCCTGGCATCATGCAAAGCAAACCAATCTCCAGAAGTCTCAAAACACATTAACACTTAATTCTAGGCTTGTGAACAATGAAGTCCCTGGGATGTAATTTATGATAGTTGTCCTTAAAAGAGTGCCATCTTCAAAATACCTCAGATTGTCTGTCTATGTGAGAGAGATATCCTAAGAATCTTAGGTCCTGCACTTAATTGCTATTTGTGTTATTTTCCCCAACAGAATTTTATGGGAAAGGAGCACCATACAATGCACTAGCTGGCAAAGATTCAACACGAAGTGTTGCAAAAATGTCCCTGGATCCAGCAGATCTCACTTATGATACAGTAAGAAAAAGATATTTTCAGCATAGCTTGATCTGAAACCACAACTAAGGAATGGTTTTATTTGCACATAGCTTTTTTGGGGTCCTAGTGATCTAATCCAAGTACAGGATCATTAAAGATGGTGGGATTGGGGAGGGATTTAAAAATAGAAAAAGTACAGAGCTCTGAAAAACCTGGTTCAGTACAATTAGTAGTCCTTTGCATTCACATTACATAGCATGGAGATGTGCAATAATCATTGAATTTGTTCTGTCTACCCCTCTCCTTTCCTCTCCATCTTTCTTTTTTTACACAATTGCAATTCATTGAGACGGGACTCACAGAAGAGCAGTTGCGATCTCTGGATGAGACCTTTAGCAATGTCTACAAGACCAAATATCCTATTGTTGGCTACACTGCCCGAAGAATTCTCAATGAAGATGGCAGCCCTAACCCAAACTTTAAACCTGAAGATCAGCCACATTTCACTATTAAGGATGAGTTTTAACAATAACTTGGCAATCCCATGACTACTACAAAGAACAGGAAGGTATCTACAAACTGAAGAATATAATGGACCTAAATTGGCTTCATATCTTTGAGGATGATTGCTTTTTATTTTATCATCATTGGTTAGTTAATAATATTAATACGCATGATAAAACTATAGTGTGTGTGTGAAAATTGTTTTGATCAGCAAAGTGTTCTGTTTCAGTGTCAGTGGAGAAGCAGTTATTTTTCTTTAGCTAATTATTTGGCTAACTAAATGGAAAAACTTAAGAGCAGCATCTGTTGACAAGGAGTCCCATGGTCAATCCCACTGAACATTACTTATTCAAAATCCTCATGGCCATATAAAACATACAATTAGACAAACCATCCTGGTTGGGTTAATAACCAATAATTGGTTATTAACAATATCCAGTTAAATTAGTGATTCTTGATGGAGGTTACTTGTGCCCCCTTCTAGGGCAGTGGGTTCTGTCTGTCTTGTCTATTTCGTCTACTCAACAGTCAGTATTGAGGGAGTTTCCTTTGAGTGTTTTCCCATTAACTCTGCATTATTTCCATAAACTAGTAGTAGAAAGTTTGTATCTTTCTGTTACAAAGTTCCCTGTTTTGGAGTAAAGTCTGTAAAGAAGAGAGATAGGGCATAAGTCTCAGGAGAGGAGTGTAGGCTACTATTTTGAGCAGTTGCATGGTGACATAGAAAATGTTTACAGGAAATTAATAATACTAACCTATTTTGCATATTGTTTTAAGATTGAATTAATACAGTTTTTATGAAGTATCAGAAACATTAACAGTCTGATTTTATTTATCTTAGTATTCAAATGGATATACTTGCTTTATGTGTGTTTACATAATTCTTCCTAACACTGAATTCCATAAAAACCAGGTCTGCAATTCTGCAGAACAACTACAATATGCGCAGCATGACTTGGGTTCCATCTATACTGCATAGCCTTTCACTCGTTCTCCTGATGCCCAATAATGGTTGAACTGGAAGAAATAAAGGTCATTGGATGCACTAAGCACTGACTATAATAACTATGTGGATCTGATATTTGATACATCATGTGTATATCTGCTGTATTTGTTACTTCTTTCTTGTGGGCAAAATAAAATAATCTTAAGACTCAAGTCCACCTCATTAAATGACTTTGGTCATATCAAAAGAATATCATGTCTCATTTGATAACATGTGTGATATAGTACTGTATTTTTTGCACTATAAGGAGCATCCCCACCCCCAAATCTGGGTGGAAATGTCTGTGCAGTGGGGGTGGGGGGTGGCAGCTTGTCACCACCACCGCCTGTTACTGCTGCCGTCGGGGAATGCTGGATCCTTCACTGTCAAGCACTGATTGGCAGTTGGATCAGCCTCCTAGAATACCACCAATCAGCTGTTCTGGGTGGCGGGAATCGCTGCCGCCAGTCGGTGGCGACCATCAGCAAATGGCTGCGATCCCCTCCTAGAACAGCTGATTAGCAGTATTCCGGGAGGCTGATCTAACCATCAATAAGCTGATCGGCAGTGAAGGCTCCAGCGTTCTCTGGCAACTGCTGCTCAGCTCAGTTGACCAGTGGTGGGCGCAATGGAGCAGAGCCCTGATGAGCCACATGCTGGGGCTGCGATAACGTGCTGAATCTGACCAGGCTGTTTTGCTGTTTGCTGCAAGGACACTATCCAGATGAATAAGTGGATGGATTCTGGGAGGCAGATGCAGATTTTTTTTTCTTGTTTTCCTCCTCTAAATCTAGTGTGTCTCTTATGGTCACTGCATCTAGTGCAAAAAATATTTCTGCCTTGCCATGCCTTTTTCATTTTTCTTCTTAAACCAAGTTTCAGTCTTGCAGGTTCAGTTTGACAAACACTATGAAATAGGTTGAATGTTCTCTTTTCCAGGTGATTTTTAGGCATCAGACCGATGTGCCTTCATATCCTGACAAAAAAAGCCTCATTTCATTAATTAGCAGTCAATTAAGGTTCATACATTCCTATATCTGCTTTAAAATACCTTTTGCAATTATTTGACTACAACATTTATGAAATAATGCCTTAGCCGAAACAAATTTGCTGTCTCCACATATCACTGAATATAGCCTTACTCTCTGGCAGTGCTACATTTCAGCTGTTCTGGAGAAATCCCCTCAAAATCTTTCCATCTTGCTAGATGGAAAGAGGTTTTTCTCCTTTTAAGGCACTGGGAATATTTTGGAGGTTATTACATGCATGGCCTTTTGCAATTGTTCAGAAATTGAGTGAATGATTTCTCTGTATTTGTCCAAGAGGAGACAATGAACTCTTTGTCAAGGGTGGCAATGTCTCTTAGTGGCAGGAGAGTTGCTATTGTAAAATTTCAGTTCATGAAAGTTTTGATACCTTCCCACAAGATTTAACCATAAGTATGGGAAGTCAAAGAGTGTATGATGAAAGTGCAGTGAAAGACAGATTATTCATATGTACTTCTTGGCTAACTCATACTGAGTGCAAAACCTCATATTCCACCCACTAACATCTTCATAGAAGTGCTCTTCTACTTCAAAGAAAATTTGAAAACAAATTCCATTTATCTTTCTTATCCAACTGAATGAAAACTGATAATGAAAATATGCAGAGAATGTCACTGTGATTAATATTTGTACTGTTTCTAATTTCCATTTTCAGGAAATGAAGATGAAGAACTGCTGCATGTTATCCATTCTCTAAATCTATCCCTTCTACAATATGTATTCTCTAGGCTCATTCACGTCAATCAACAAACGTGATTTAGATTGCAAAAATGTGCCTGTTTTTATTATACCCTTCATGGATTTTAATGCTGGGGATTATCAAATTTGAGTAAGGTACTAATATGTTACATTAGGTAGATAAAAACAGAAACTGGAAACAAGATGATTGAGTTTCTACATCTTATTGACAAAGTTAAGTGGTATGCTTTTTTTAAAAAAGCGAAACTATTTGGGACTAGGAACAATGTGCATATATATTCAAGCCACTAGAGGGCAATGCCACACTATTAGAAATAACATAGTTGGCAAACACAGTAATTGGCACTTGGTAACTGGAGAGACCGAAATTTCTTCAAGTGTTCTGTTAAAACTGTAAACTGATAATGCATAAAGCCTTTAGTAAGTACTTCCTTGGATTACCTTAGCCACCACAAGAAATATACCCGAAGAGACATACTTGCATCATTTCAGTTTAACCCAGAACCCTTAGATGTGTCCCAAAAACCAGAAGTGTAGTCATGCTTGTAGCCATATAACGTGCAGACACACAACTTCCTGAGATCTCAAGTAGAAGAAGCCACACAGGTGGAGGAGCTGATACTATATCAAAGGTTGCCCAACCTTCTCACAACTTAGGCATGTTTACAATAACATAAACAAGGAAAAACACTCAAACATTACACCACCTTTTATCGAGCATTATCTAAAAAATATTTCTTGATAATGAGAAAATAAAGTAAAAATTCTCCAGTTACTGCATGTTACTCTTGAATGTCAAATCTTCCATCACACTTTGTTGAATTCCATCTGCTTCCCTTGAATAGATCACAGGGCAGAAAGGTGTGGAATGAATAACTTTTTCCAACTTGCATGTTTTTGATTGGGGACTCTTACAATCCCCCTCAGTTGTGATAATACCTTGCAAGAAAAAGACAAGAAACCCAGAGCTATCAATGAAATAAGTAGCAACACAATTATTACAAATATGTAAAGGTACATTCGCATCTATATACCACATTTAAATGCTCATAAATGTTTACTTAATTTATGAAGATTTGTGTACATGATACACACACACACTTTTCCAAAATTACAAACTTCAATTTTTTGGCAACTTTTAAGATGTAATACAATAATACAATAGCAGAGTTGGAAGGGATCTTGGAGGTCTTCTAGTCCAACCCCCTGCCTAGGCAGGAAACCCTATACTGTTCCAGACAAATGGCTATCCAACTTCTTCTTAAAGACTTCCAGTGTTGGGGCATTCACAACTTCTGGAGGCAAGTTTTTCCACTGATAAATTGTTCTAACTGTCAGGAAATTTCTCCTCAGTTCTAAGTTGCTTCTCTCCTTGATTAATTTCCACCCATTCCTTCTTGTTCTACCCTCAGGTGCCTTGGAGAATAGTTTGACTCCCTCTTCTATGGACTTCTAGCTAGAGAATTCTGGCTGAGAATTCTAGGAGTTCACATATCTTAAAAGATGTCAAGGTTGAGAATTATTGGTCTAGTATCTTAAGGGTAAGGCATATAACAAAAATCTAGATGTCCATTAGAATGAGAAAACACTTTGCTTCTGGCCAATGATTTTTTAGATTGTTTTTTCAGATCAGAACTGGTAGCCCTAGTTTGATCTAAGCTCTTAAACTGAGCCTTGGGCAAAATTCAGTTGCTGCTTTGGAATATTCTTTCTTGAGCAGGAGCTCTACCCCTTAGTAGCCCATTATTCATAATGAGTCCTGTATCTTAGGTCGGTGCTCTTGAACCTGACAACACTGTGTGTATGCACTAGCACACAACACTGTTGTTTTTTAAAAAAGTAAAGTTGGTATTTTCCTGGTTGAATACAGGCAGGAAAACATTCTAAGCGAAATCAGATTAAAAAAATTATTGTATCAAAAATGTGCCTATTTTCCTGCATATATTTCTCAAGTAATTATCAAAGAGGATGTTACACAGAAATAGAAGCTCTGTTCTCTATCACTTCAGAATGGCAGAACAGAGAGTAATGGATTCAAATGACAGGCTGGCAGATGTCAATTGAATGTTAGGAGGACTCAGCTTCAAGAGTGTATTCAACAGGGGATCCAATTACCTAGAGAGGGGATGGGCTGTCCTAGCTTGGATGGGGAAAGACAAGGATTTGTCTAGGATGCTTTAAGTTGGATTTGTGCTACTCTCAGTGTGCATTGGGCAGGAGCCATACTCCACAGGCTCAAGAACTCTTTCCAGCCCTGTGAGTATATTAAACAGTATAGGAACCAGGCCATCTACCCACATTGCCAATCTATTCAAGATTATATGTCAACCTAGTTCAAATTCATTTGCCTGGAATGAACCTCTTTCCCCCTCTGTGCAACTTGAAAATGTACGTGCTTCTCTGCACAAATATATTCCTTTTGACCAAGCTAGGAACACAGGAAGCTGCCTTATCTATGGATTGTTTGGTGAGTTCAGGAAAACTCACATCGCACATAGTGATCTTTACAAGGGGCAACTCTAATATGTTCGTAACAGCATTCCTTCCAAGTCAAGTCCATTGTTCACCTAGTTCAGAAGTATCTACACCACAGATGAGCTGAATGTAGATCATCTCCCAACCCGTTTCAATTTCACTCCTTCCTCACAAAATCAATCAAAATACTCCTTTGTCACTTAACTCGTACAGGTAGTCCTTGATTTATGACCAGCCATTTAATTTATGACGTGTCATAAATTTATGACAAGTCCTTAATGACGACTGTCATGTTCCCAGATCATGCGATTATAGTTTTGGGCATGTGGTAACTGGCTTGCATTCATGACTAGCTACAGTATTCCATGGTCATGTCACATTTGGTGACATTTTTTGCCATTTTCCACCACCACCACCTAAAAAAAGCAAGCAACTACGGTATACAATGGATTTGCTTAAGAATCATGTGGTTTGCTTAACAGCCACATGCTTCACTTTACAACCTCAGTGACACTCTTTCCAGCCATCATAAAAATGGTCATAAAATCAAATCCATTTGCATGGTACTTCGATTTCCAACTGCAATGACTTAACGACCAAAATTCTAGATTTCATTGTGGTAGTAAGTCAAGGTTTACTTGTAGAGAATCAAGGATTATTAAATCCAGGAATTATCTTTTGTTGAAACAGTCACTGGACTCAGAATAGGTTATTATCTGAGAACTCTTCCTTGGACTCAGAGGTAGTTCTTGTTTTAACCACAGTAATTGGAACGGAATTTCCCTCATTAATGTAAACCTCAACATCATGTGATCACATCACTTGTTGATGGCAGTTCTGGCACTTCCAGTTGCTATTGTTAAGCAAAATCCCATGATAAGAGAGAAGGGGGGGGAGGGAGGGAGAGACTATAGTCCCCCAACTGAATTCTCTCTGCTGGACTGCTTTCCTACTCAGTTTCAGTGCTGAGCGGCTAAAAGTCATGCAAACAGGAGGGAATGAGAATCTGGAGCGAGATGTAGAGTCTGATGCAAGGGGGATGACTCGCACTTTTTGTGTTTTCCTTTTTAAATGCTGCAATATGTACCAAACGTGCAAAACAGATGTAACCCTGTGCAAGACTTTTAGGCTTGGTGAAGGTTGATAATTTGAATTCCTGCTTCAGCACTGAGTCACACGGTAGAGAGGGGCCTTCCTCAGAAGCTGGGTGTGGGTAGGCGTGTATGCTTTGGAATGTACAAAGACATATACATACAGACTTCAGAAAATAGTCCATCCTGACTTGTTATGAAATCTAATCTTGTGATGGTAATATTTATTGTTTCCTCAAACTGAAAACAATACCCAACTTAGATTTTGAAAGAACAAAACTCGGGAAGGCAGAGTTGTGATTTCCAATTTACAGATAACCAGGGAGCTAAAAAAATTGAATACAGTGCCATTGTATAACATTCTGCAGAAAATGATAACAATCCTTCAGAACAAAGTGCTTCTGATCCTACATACACACTTACTCAGAAGTAAATCTTATTTCTGTGAGAACTGTTCATAAATAAAGATACCTAAGATTTCAGATATACTGTTAATTTCGTAAGAAAAACACCTTGGTGGTTTTATTATTGATAGGTATTTTTAAAAGTATAATTCTGATTTATAAGTAAAGCTGATTGCTAGTTGGAATTCCTTGAGGATTTGCCATGCAAGAGTTAATAGAATAGGAGACTGACACTCCCCACCCCACCTAGCTAAAGTTGTAAAGGGTGATGCAAGGGCTGATGTAAGAGGTGTGTGTACATGTATACACATGTATATGTGTGCGCGTAACAGCCTAACAACTTTTTGGAAATGAGAGAGAGAAAACGGCCAGCTGATTCCTGATCTACTTTATAGCCTCCTTCATAATAACATGGATAAGAAATTTTAGATAGTGGGTGCTGTATCTCTGGTTTTCAGTCTTAATTCAGCTCATCACCCCTGCCCATCCAGTCTGTGGTCTTAGGTGAAGCTCTCCCTCCCTCCTTCACTATCATGGGCCATTTCCAATGAAGGGATCTGGAGAAAGGTCCTGCTCTAGTTTCAGTCTTGTCCATACGCCTAATTGAGACACCGAATAAGTGATCTCTTCACAGATGATCACTTGGCATTTCCCACACCTCAGCACTTTTTGGCAGCTGGCATCATTGCAAATTCTGGTGGGATATCCAGCAGCAAGATAGGGTGGGGCTTGAGTCAGCATGCAGGAACAGAAGAGCTTTATGTTCGGAGGGTTGGTTCTTTGGCAATAGCTGTGGGCTTTTTCTCAGAGATAATATGTCTCAAGTTTTTCTTTCCCTCTAGGTCTATTTGCTGTAGTCCTCCACTCACGACCACAATTGAGCCCAAAATTGTTGCTAAGCGAGATATTTGTTAAGTGAGTTTTGCCCCAATTTAAGATCTTTCTTGTCACAGTTGTTTAGTTAGTAACACTATTGTTAAGTGAATCTGGCCTCTTCATTTATTGTGCTTGTCAGAAGGTCACAAAAGGGTGATTACATGACTGTGGACACTGCAATAGTCATAAATATGAACCAGTTATCAAGCATCTGAATTTTGATCCCATGATCATGGAGATGCCGCAATGGTTGTAAGTGTGAAAAATGATCAAACGTCACTTTTTTCAGTGCCATTGTCACTTCAAACAGTCACTAAATGAACTGTTGTAAATTGACAACTATTTGTATTTTTCCAGAACAATTGGTAATTTGAGGAGTCTGCAATGCAAAATATATTCCAATCTGCCTTACAAAATGCATAAGTTACAATAATGTATATGGAAGGTGCAAGCTGGAATTAGCTTTTCAATGATATAAGTAAACTGTATTTATCTTTGTTGACTGAATGCAACAATTCTGTGCATTTAACTTTGCCAGCTGGGTGTTCTTGGGTGTATTGGACTTCCCACAATAGGCTTAGTTGGAAGGTCAGCCACAGCAACCGAACTGAAGGACTATGAGCTAAAGAAGCCTGTTTCAGAAGAGAAAGGGGGGGGGGGCTGGGGAGGATTGCACTGTTCATTTAATTCAGAACCAAATCTTTGTCCTGGGTTGTGCTCTCTATTGCTGCAGACAGTTCACTAAGTAAAGAGAAAAAGGAAGGTAAAGACACAATGAACAACTTGAACTTAATCAATTTGGAATGCAAAAAATCTAGTAGATTCAACCATTTTCTTGCTGACACTGAGAGGCCATCAAATTTTTTGCAACCAGAGCAGGTATCCTAGAAAAGCCTATTTTGGATGGTAAAAATAGCTTCTGGGTTGTCAGTTTCTAAAATAAAGGAAGGCAGGGCTTGGTTTAACCAGAAGTTTTGAAACAACAATGAAGTCTCCCTTTTCTCCTTTTTAGTGCATAATTTCTAAAAAGCCATGTTGACAATTTTGACATGCACTGTGGGGAAAAATGACATTCATCTGTGCTTTAAATAAC